CCGTTTCACGTTTGCTACTGATCATCGGTAGTCCCTGGGCTTTATGCAGTGGAGTGTATGAACAAGTCCTGTAAGCGCCTCATCCACACTGCTGTGGTTTGGATTTTGCTCCATCTCATTCTCTCCACTCGTCAGCGTGCCACTGAGGATAGCGATCTATGCGCCATACACCACATGCCACCTATAATGCATTGATATGCGACTAAGGGTGCAACAGGACAAACGTAGGCAGTTAGTTTACAGTTCTTACCGGGCACCACTACATCATAGGGTTTACGAAGTGGGGTAAATAGAAAAGTCAAGTAAATTACTTGTACTTGGTGGGGGTGGTCCTATCGCCTCGTGTGAAAAACGACGAGTGTAAGGACATCTGAGAAAGTACATTGACATGCGAAATTGCATCAAAGGTCAGCGATATGTTTAGGTGGCAAGGCCTGATGCGTGACCTAAGTTCGTTCCAAGTGAAACGCGTTGGAGCAGAATGAAACTCTCACCGTCCCTCTCCACCAACAACACCAACCCCAAGAATACGTGCTTTTGCAATTTTTGGTAACAGCAGGTGGTTGGATTTGATCCCAGCTGTTATGGCCACTGCACGTTGCAGCGAGCTCCACTAGTCTCAAAATTGACTTCTCTCTCGCACATACACAAAAATACACCGTCCGCCTTAACCGCTTTTGCGACAATTAAGGGACCTTTCACTACTGTATACTAGTCGCCCGGGAGCGGCTTACAAGTCTGGGACACAAGCTGTGTGGAAAAACAAACTTACTGCGCTTGTAGGCCTCCCGGATTCGAGCCAATTCAGCGTTGGTTGAGGGTACAAGGACCTGGATCAGAGTCATCTCCTTGGTACCGAGACGGTCTATTGCGTCTAAACAGGCTTTGGCTTGCACTTCTGCCGAATCCATCAAGCTGCCCAGGACCAAGTCCTCAAACCTGCCGCTCAGTTCGCCTTTCAAGTCCTGTTCTAGCGACTGGAAGTTGTGGAGAATGAATATACATAGTAAGGCTTGAGGGTGTCTGTGCACATAGTTAAGTTGACAGTTAAGAGCTCAGTGGCTTGGGAAATAAGACTGAATGAAGGCGTAAGCTTCCAGAACTTTGGCATCCCTAAGTACACTCTCATTAATGTGGAAGTTGAGACGGACTTTTTATATGATCCCGACCCTCGATGGAACACAGGAATAGAAATGCCCAGTAATGCAGGCGGCTTTGGCTAAATTCCAGCGAAATTCTCATTCGGGTTAAGGCTAGAGTTAAGATTAGTTGAGGGCAAGTAGTAGGCCTAAGTTTAGAATTAGTGTTAGAAAATAGGGACCGGT